GATCAATCGTCTCTCGTATCCAGTGATACCGAATGTCAATATGCTTTGTACGAGAATGGTACATAGAGTTCTTGCTCAAGTCTAGAGCACTCTGACTGTCACAATGTACTTTGTACTCTTTCTGCTGGATCCCAAGTTCTTGGAGAAAACGTTTTAGCCACAACATTGCCTTACCTGCTTCAGCGGCAGCAATGTATTCTGCTTCTGTTGTAGATAAAGCGACACACTTCTACAATCTTGATTGACAAGAAACGGCTCCCCCTGCAAAAGTGTAGATATATCCTGAAGTAGACTTTCTACTATCAGTGTCTCCGGCCATATCAGCATCTGTGTAGCCTTCCAAGACTGGATCAGCTCCTCCGTAACAAAGACATAACTTCGTGGTACCTTTCAAGTACCTGAGAATCCATTTGACTGCCTCCCAATGCTCCTTCCCGGGGTTAGAGAGAAAACGACTCACTGTACCCACTGCCTGTGCGATGTCTGGCCTTGTGCATACCATGGCGTACATCAAACTCCCAACTGCTGAAGAATATAGAACTGCTGACATCACCCCGATCTCTTCCTTGGATGTAGGGCATGTTCTTTTGCTCAACTTGAAGTGATTCGCAAGTGGAACACTTACTGGCTTGGCATCATTCATGTTGAATCTCTCAAGTACTCGTTCAATGTACTTCTCCTGAGATAGCCATAACTTGCGATTCTTCCTGTCTCGAGTGATCTGCATCCCAAGAATCTGTTGAGCCGGTCCTAAGTCCTTCATATCAAAAGACTTAGAGAGTTCTTTCTTCAGTTGGTTTATCTTCACTGCATCTTTCCCAACGATCAACATGTCGTCTACATATAGTAGAAGAGTAATGAAGGTACCGTCTGGAAGTTTCTTGATGTATACACACTCATCTGCAGTAGTCTTCTTGTAGCCTTGACTCTTCATGCATGAGTCAAACTTCTTATTCCACTGCCTTGGTGCCTGCTTCAAGCCATACAAACTCTTAGATAATTTACACACAAAATTATCATTTGAGTTCTCAAAACCTTCCGGCTGCTGCATGTAGATTTCTTCTTTCAAATCTCCGTGAAGAAATGCTGTCTTCACATCCATTTGTTCAAGCTCCAAGTTCATACTTGCTGCCAAGCCAAGTATAACTCGGATTGAGGTCATCTTGACAACTGGTGCAAAGATCTCATCAAAGTCAATTCCTTTCTTCTGCTGGAACCCTTTGACAACCAACCGAGCTTTGTGTTTCACCACTTGTCCGTTTGCATCCTTCTTCAGCTTGAACACCCATTTGTTCCTCAGTGCCTTCTTCCCTTTAGGAAGTTCTACGATCTCATAAGTTTGATTTTTCTGCAGAGATTCTAACTCATCCTGCATTGCTATTAGCCATTTTTCTTTATCCTTATGAGATACAGCTTCTTGAAAACTCTCTGGTTCTCCATCTTCAGTTAACAAAAGATATTCAGATGATGTGTACCTTGTCGATGGTATATGCCCTCGTTCAGATCTACGAACAGTAGGAACCATCTGAGAAGAGCTACCATCATCTGTGTCTGGCGGGGTGGATTGTGTCTCCCCTTGCCCTGCACTCTCTTCTGTCTCCTCGTGTTCTTCTGCTTCTGAGTTATCTTCATGCACTTCGTCCTCTTCTGGTGCTTCATTTGAAACTTGAGCACCCTCATTTGACTTCCGAGACATTGTGGGTTTTTCAATGTCTTCTATTGTCAAATCTTCGTGGAACACAACATCCCTACTTCTGAACACCTTTTTCTCCTTAGGATCCCATAGCCTGTATCCAAACTCTTCATTTCCATAGCCAACGAAAATGCATGGGATAGTTCTTGCATCGAGCTTCTGCCTGAGCTCTTTGGATACATGTGCATATGATGAACAGCCAAATACTCTAAGATGTGAGTATGTAGGATCCTTACCTGTCCATAACCTCTCTGGAACTTCAAAGTTCAGTGGTACCGAAGGTGATCGGTTGATAAGGTAGCATGCGGTGTTGACTGCTTCTGCCCAGAATGACTTCGGAAGCTTAGCCATATTCAGCATGCTCCGGACACGCTCCATGATAGTCCGGTTCATTCTTTCAGCAACGCCGTTGTGCTGAGGGGTGCGTGGTACTGTCTTCTCATGTCGAATGCCATATTCTCTACAATATGCATCGAACGCCTTGGAAGTATACTCGCCTCCATTATCAGATCGGAGACATTTCAGCTTCTTTCCCGTTTCACGTTCCACCAAGACGTGAAATGTCTTGAAGCACTCAAATACCTGATCCTTCGTAATCAGGAAATACACCCACACTTTCCGAGAAGCATCATCGATAAAAGTCAGAAAATATCTGCTTCCACCGATTGATTCCACCTCGAAAGGACCACAGACGTCGGAGTGTACCAAACTTAACAACTCTGATCTTTTAGCTGAAGTAGAACTAAATGATACTCTATGATGCTTACCAAACAGACAATGACTGCAAGGACCCAGTGCAGCATTCTTGTCGATGTTGATAAGGTTCTTCTTGATCAAGGTAGTCAGCCCTTTCTCACCGATGTGGCCGAGTCTCAGGTGCCACAGATTATGAGAAGTCTCCTCAGCAATGTTGAGGCTATCCGTACAAATCCTCAAATGGGTTTTGTACAATGTGCCACAAACATGTCCTCGAGCGATTGTCAAAACGCCCTTTGACATTTTCCAGGTGCCCCTGTTAAAGTGGTTTTCATACCCCTGTTCGTCAAGACATACCACTGACAGGAGATTGAGACAAAGGTCTGGAACATGTCTGACATCCTTCAAAGTGATTGTGCTCCCAGAACTCGTCTTTATTTGTACATCACCAATTCCAGCTATTTCAGATGAACTGGAATTGCCCATCTTCACTGCTCCAAAGTCTCCAGCTTTGTAAGTTGTGAAGTAGTACCTGTGGGGAGTAACATGGTAGGATGCTGCAGTATCTACCACCCATTCAGTGTCCTCTCTTGAGACGTGAAGGCATGTTTCATCATTGATAGTACAATACGCCACATCACCTGAGATTGTGATGAGCGCTTCACCACCCTTGCTCTTCGCTTGAGAATTGCTCTTGCCTCGCTCCTCTAGCAATTTGTAGCAATTCTTCTTCATGTGACCCTCTATACCGCAATGGTGGCAGGTATAAGAAGGTTTCCGGCCATCTGATGATCTCCCCCGACTTTTGCCCCTGCTTTGCCATTTCCCTCTACTGTTTCTTTGTTGTTTTCCTTGTGATCTTCCTCTATTCTCTGTCACAAGGGCATGAGTCTCATCTGTGCTCATGTCTTTCCTTCTTGCCTCCTCATTGAACAGTGCATCCTTGACCACAGACATGGTAAGTTTGCCATCTGGGGCTGAGTTGCTGAGAGTAACAACTAGTGTCTCCCAACTATCAGGAAGGGAACTAAGAAGCAGTAGAGATTGCATTTCATCTCCAAGTGGCATTTGTACACAAGATAGTTGATTTACCAGACTCTGAAATTGACTAGTATGTTCGGCAACAGAAGTTCCACTTTTGAGCTTCATATTGACAAGACGCCTCATCAGTAGGGCCTTGTTCCTAGCGGTCTTGGCCTGGTACATATCTTCTAACTTTTTCCAAAGGGCATAAGCATCGGTTTCTTGTGCAACATGGTGGAAGACACTATGGTCAATCCATTGTCGGATTTGACCAATAGTTTTTCTATTAATTTTCTTCCATTCCGTTGACTTAGCCGGGTCAGGATTAATACCTTTCATCTCTATTGGATCAAAAAGGTCTTTACAGCTAAGGAAATCTTCCATCCGAGGTTTCCATAGCGTGTAGTTGGTAGCCGTGAGCATAATCATAGCTCCGGAAGATGAAGTTGACTCGTCAAAGGTCATTTTCACCTTCTAAATAATTTTGATTTTCTGTTTCAGAAAAATCGGAGCAGAATTTCGAAAAACAGGCAGCACCGTTGCGTCCGGAACGGCCGAAAATGGTGGGTAGGCACTTTCGGGGTCAAAATACAATTTTCGAAAAATTATAGGCCGAAATTATAATTTTTCAAAAATTGAGGGACCAAACTGCAATTTTTCAAAATTTAAAAACTGACCGGTGACGTGGCAGATGACGTGGCAGTGACGTGGCAGTGACTGGGCGATGACGTGGCAGATGACTGGGCGCTGGTGAAAGTTGGCAGTTGACTGGTGACGTGGCGGCTGACTGTGCTGGGACTGTACATGTGGCGCTGACGTGTCGCTGACGCAGCTCTGGCTGGCTGATGACGTCAGCGATGACGTCAGCTGTCTTCAACCTCTGTCTGCGCGTGATGACGTCAGCATGACGCAGGCAGTTTTTGGCCGGCGTTTGGCGGCGCGTACGGCAGCTTCCGGTGGCCAAAAAAATCCCCAAAAATACTAGTTTTCTCGTCTCGACGAGACGAATCCAACGGTATATTCAGATTGCAATTCTGAGCAATACTGAAAAACTCGATTTTTCAGACAGTAGAATTTTATCTGAAAAAATCTGGGAAAAATATCAAAAGCTCAACCAGGCTCTGATACCACTTGTTGGGAATAACAGGATCGTGCTAATATGAGAGAAAAACACTTCTATTACTTTCAAGAATAGAAAGAAGAGACATACAAGCTCTAACTAAAAACTCTCAAAACAACACCTCACATATCTCTCAAGGATATTCACAACTCTTCTTGGTTGTGCTATGATGATCTATTCTAATTTACTTGATGATAGAAAGACTCTCCAAGCTCTCTATTTATAGCACCAAAACTAGGTACTATGAAGGTGGGAGGAAGATGTGTTGAAGCTAGGAAGAAGCTTCAATGGAACATGAGGAAGCTTCAATGGTGGTTGAGGAAGCTCCCCTTGTCATTCTTGCACATGGAGGAAGCTTCATGGAAGCTATGAATTGAATTCTTCACTTCCCTCCCCTCTATTCGCTTCAATTTCATCGAGTGGGGGACAAATACTTACGAACGGACGATTCTCGTTGCAATGAACGGACGAAAAGCTGCATCGGTTGACAGAATCAGTGAACTGCCAGCAGATTTAAAGGAACAAATTTTAAAGTTCTTGGACACCCAATCTGCTGCCCGAACAGCTCTTCTCTCGACTCAATGGAAGGATGTATGGTATCGCCATGGTCGGCTTGAGTTTTTTTGGGACTTCAACGAACCCTTGTCTTCTCTTGGAAACATGATAACTAACATTCTCTTGCTCCATTCTGGACCCGTGAGGGAATTTTCGCTTTATATTTGCAGTCAGGAGGATCCAGCCCTTCCCCAGTCTGATATTGATTCGTGGTGCCTATTTCTATCGAGAAATGGAATTGAAGATCTTACCCTCGGTTATTTTGAGTTTCAGTATTATGATCTGCCAGTTTGTATAGTCTCCTGCCCGACCATTAAGATACTCAGTCTTCGGAATTTCTTTTTCCGTTTCCCTGTTAATGCTCCACCTGGCGGTATATTTCCCAACCTCACATTTGTATTTTTCAGCCGTACTGATTTTGAGCATAATGCTGCTGGAATTATGGGTTGTAGAATACCTAATCTTGTTGAGCTGGTCTTCTCCCATTGTAATGAGGTCCAAAAGTGTGTGATCAATGCTCCAAAACTGGAAAGCTTGATGGTCATTGGCTCTACTATGTACAGAAATGAATGGTCAGAATGGAGATGGTTTCTTATTCATCTTCCAATAATTAAGACTCTTTGCTTGTCTGTAGAACTATTTGTGGTGAGGTTCTTTTCTTTCATATAATGTTACAACTTCAGTTTGTATTTTTGTGTTAGGGTTATGATTTCAAGGGTTACTACTTGTTTTTTTCAAGGATAATCTTGGTGCTACAATAAATATCCAAGAGATGTTACCAATAGCAATAAATGTGGAAGTAATTAAGCTGTATGAGTTCAACTTTGCTTCCGCGAAGCACTTTGATTTTGCGGTTCAGCTGATTAAAAAATGTCCAAAGCTATGCGAATTGGAAATTCTAGCAGAACAGGTTTTAATGTCCCGCATTTAAAACCCTTTAAATATTTAGCTAGTATGAGGCTGCCTTCTATACACACGTCATGATAATGCATTCTTTCTCTTGTGCTGTAGTTTTCTTCAATGGAAGAGTTTAAAGCTGCTGCAAGGGCATGGGAAGATCCAGAGTATGGGTTTATTGATCAGGAACTGGCCGTGATTAAAACAGTGAAGTTCGCATCATTTCTTGGATTGAGATTGGAAGTACAGTTTGTCAAAACAATCCTGTCAAATTCTCCCGCCCTTGAGACACTTGTTATTCAGGAAGCATCATATAATAGTTTAAATAACTCTGTGGTTCCCGGAATCGTAAGGAAGATGCCCCGCTTCCCTCGTGCTTCTCCAAAAGCACAAATCGTCCTCTTGAATTATACGTATCCCAGCCTCGTTGATTCACCTCCTGAGTTTTAGCTTTTCGGTCTTTATTTTCCAAATGGATAAGTGCAGCATGTCTGGGCATTTTTTGGGAATCATCATCTTACTCCGATGTACAAAAGTTTGGTTTTTCAATCCAAATGATCATCAAACAGCTATTTTTATGTTTTGGAATGATTTTTTATTAAGAAATTGTCCAAAATGAGACTAAAACATGGACCAAACTCCAAAATGGGACATTAAGTTTTTTATTTCCCAAATAGGACTCCAGATTACACTTTTACCCTTCATCTAATTAAACCCAATTTCTCTGCCTCTCTCGATCTATTTGGTGTGTGCTATTTCTTCCGCCCAGCTGCGTGCCTACGTTTCTCCCATCAACCATCGAAGCTGTTGCTCCAGTCTATATTCTTTTCCAAGTTCGCCATTGATCAAGAATAAATTCAATCTAGGGAATTGATCCACTTTAATAGTTGAAACTAGAATCTCATGAAGAAGAAGAGGGTTCAATTCCCCCAGATTGGAGCCATCATTAAGATTGGAGCCGCTGCAGTTGCTCCACCATGACAGGTAACCTCCTCTGATCTCCTCCTCCTCCTCCTCCTCTTCTTCATTTTCTTCTTCCTCTTTTCTTTTTTGGCTTCTCCTTCCCATCCTCTTTGAATCTGGGTCCTTGCTTTCTTCCTCTTTAGATTTCAATTTTTTTATTTATTAATTTTGATTAATTTGGAACCCCAAAATGCCATAAATTACAAGCAATTAGAAAAATGACATTTTTGTGACATTACATTTATCAATATGACAGTATGTCATGAAACTGACATTGTTTCTCAAAAAACCGACACTTTAAACATGACATTCGTGGTTGTAAAAAATATTATTTTTTAGATGAAAAACTAAGGCAATTTAAGGATGAAAATACTGACATCATTTGGAAAAATGTCAAAAAAACATGTCATTTCTAATAACAAGTAGTTATGTCATTCTTAGATAAGCCATAAAAATGTCACAAAATGCCATAAAAATGACATTTTCGTATGGACATATGACATTTTCATATTGTCATCCTGATAAATATACTGTCACAAACGTGACAGTTTTTTCATAATAAACCATAATTTTGACATTTCAGATTATAAAAGCGGCATTTTGTTGAATAGATAAAATTCATATCAAAAAATTCCAAACTAATAAATAAAATTCAAATCCTAAAAATGAAAAGAAGAAGAGAACAGAGGATTAGAAATTTGAAGAGGATTAGAAGAGGAAGAAGAAGAAGAAGAAGAAGCTTGAGATCAAGAAGAACTTACCTGGGAAACTGCATTCATCGCAGGGCTGGCAAGTGGCGAACGGAAGAAGAGAAGCGCAGGGCATTTTTGGCATTCCACCGTTATTTTAGTCCTACACTACTTCAGATTAAACTAGTAGTCCTATAATGGAATTTTTCATATGTTTTAGTCCTATTTAGGCAAATCTCTCTTTTTTATTACCTGAAGTAGATGGAACAACAATTATAATTCTGGAAGAAGTGAGATGCTAAGCTTTTTTATGCAGTATAAATTTTTGTTAGGTCTCAACTCTTTATAGATACTCATCCCTTATCTGACTGGGTATTTTGAAAGGGATGTCGTGAGTATGGGGATATTTCTTTTATGGCTCCCTTTGTCTTGACAACAAATTTCACATTATTTT